TTAAGGTAAACCGTAACATTTTAAAACTAAATCAATTAACCACGTAGAGGGCAGCTGCTTTCCTTCTTCATCAAATAATCCCTCCTAACACTGTACTTGTTTAAACTGCATCAGTGCAATCACACAGGTCACAGAAACTCCGAGCTCACTGGTTAACAAGAGGCACTCGCTAACAAATCCTTCCAAGCAAAGCATCCGAACCAGTAAGAGGTTTGCCAGGCCCCTGCTCCGAGGACAGCCACTGGCACAGCTCTCCCCGTACCTGTGACATAACTGCGCTGCTCCCTCGCCCCAAATCCCTCCGAGGTGCTTTCCCGGCTTTGACTCAATCCAGCCCGTGAGCTCTGAGAGCGCCTCTTGTTTTCCTGGACTTATATAGAGCATCCAACGTGAAGTCATGAGCTGGGTCATCTTCCCAAAGCAGAGCCCGGGATGACTGGGGTTGAGGGAGGCTGTTGTTGTTGCTGGAGGGTTTATTCCTGGCGATGACTCGGGCGCGCAGCACTGCGGGAGCCGGGCTGACGGGAGCAGACAGCTGTGGCAGCGGGATGTGGGGAAGCCCAGTCCGTTATGGGAGCGGCTTCCCTGGGAGCCCCATCGGGCTCTATTTATAACTTTAAAAGGCAAAAAACTTTGTTATGGACACAAAATTGACTCTGAATCCTCCTGGGGGAGCGAGGAGAAGATAAAAAAGAGAGTATTTCTTTCCCAGCATAAAAAAAAAAAAAAAAGCATTCTCTAAAGATTATATAAACCCAATGTCCGAAGCATAACATTGTGCCCTGGATTGCTTTTGCACAGGATCTTTAGCAGAAGAGTATTTTGTGTGTTTTGGAGAGTTAATAAACTGGTTTTATTAACTAGTTTTAACCCTTACAGTTCTATCGCTCGTCTTACACAACTGAGGGGAAAATCACTTTCTACTTCCAGCACTATTAGTAAGTGTAACCATTTCACTCATCATCTGTACAGGAACAGCTTACTCAGACATGGATAAACTCGGTGTTCCCCACTGCACATCCTGACAGGAGTAAAACCCTTCCCAGAACTTTTAATGTTTTTCTCTAAACAATATTTAAATTAAATTAAAGAAAAAAAAACCATCTCTGAGCATGATTTCTATTTTTCATTAGTGGGAGAGGATTGGGTGGGGAACTATTTCCCTTTTTTTTTTTCACATCATGTAAAAAAATCAGCTTTTATGATTGCACTCAACACAAAGAACCAGGACTCCAGCCAGGTAGGTTAATGTGAAAAGGCAGTCGTGGCAGAGCTCCAAACATCTTCTCCTAGAGAGACTGATGATTGATTGTTGCAGTGGTAGGAACCTGCCCTGGCCTTTCTTTGAGCTCTGCCCATGTTTTGTTTAGGCTACAGAAAAAAAGAATGGGAGGTCAAATAAAATTGGTATTTTCCATTATGAGAACATGACATCAAACACAGCTCTAGTGCTGTGTGATTGGGACTGTGGGATTTGTTGGCTGTGAATTGACCCCCCCAGGCCTCTGGGTGCCCATTCTGCCTTTCAGCTGAAGACCTAAGCCTGAGAGGTTTTCCTTTATTGGGGGAATTATTTGTGGGTGAAGAAGCAGTTTGGATGTTATGTCCTCAGCCATTCCTTAGGTTGAATTTCTATTTTAAACCCCTAGCTTAGTAAACCAGAGGAAGCATTTATGCAGAACAGCAGTGCCTTTAGTAGGTCAACAAAGCAAAAATAAAACACTGATTTTAGAAAAAAGAGCAGATTTTTTTTCTATTGCACAAAGCAACACTTCTCCTTCTCTGCTGTTTCTCCACAGTCCCACAAGCATCACTATTCTGACGCTATCTGTTATGACAGGAAAATAACATTCTGCACGTTTAAAGCAAATATTTAGAATTCAAGACACTGAACTATTTTTCCCTTCAGCTTTCAAAATTGCTTCAGTTAATTGGTACTACATATTCCTCACTTGAAAGCAACAGAGTTGTGCTTTCATGGCAATTTAATCTGTGCAAACAAAATCATTATACAAACAAAATTAAATCACTTCAACCTTGCCTGCCATTTAGGGCAGGAGGTGAGGAGCTTACAGAGGTAGGGGGAATATCCTGAAGTTTCCAGGACATCCCCATAGCCTGGACAGTTCTTTGATTGCACATTTCTTACACCAACACTCAACAACAGCCACAACCATTTTCTTGCACAGATCATGGGCTATTTTTCCTTACAAAAAAACCAACTTAAGTCTACAGTTACTTACATTTCAGAGTAGAAATTCTGTTCCCATGGCTGAGGTCCTCAGATCTGTCAAATGGGACATGAATGACAATGATACAAGATAGGCTCATTTATTCAATAGTGGCTATTAAAAAGAAAAGTTGACCCTCTTTAACCTTCCACTGCAACAGCAAGTGTGGAAAACTCCTTTGCAGAGAAATGGTTGCAGATAAAATATGGCAATGACCAGAGAATTTGGTGAACATACACAGGTGCTGCTGTGGGTTCCAGATCTTACAGAAGATTTCTCCTCCAGGGAAGTGCTAACACCCCTCAGGGGGCTGACAGGCTTGGTAGAATGAAGGTTATACTCTGAATTCCCTGTGAGGATGAACTGAATCTGGGGCTGCTTGGAAAGTAATGGGTAAATGTTATCCAGGAGTTACAGAGGTAGGATTGGATTGATGCTGTGTAGCTCCAGCCCTGAAAAAGCCTTCCTCAGGGAACAGATCTGAGAGGAGCCTGCAAGGATTCTAAACAAAATTTGCAACTTAATAGCACTTCTTCCAGCTCAAATGGGATTAAGGTAAATGGATATGCTGAAATTAAAATCAGCAGAAGAGTGGACAACATTAGACCTGAATTTAAACTCGAGTAGCAAAACCTGCTTCCCACAGGAGCACACTATAAACACTGAAACACGGGGACTTCGAAACAGAGCAAGTATAAAACAAGTGTACAAATCTGTAATAAGTCCAACTTTATTGTAAACCATTATACAATGTAATTACATCAGATACCTTTAAAAGTTTAAGGTAACACCACTGATTAAACAATATGGTCCAAACAGAGGGCAGCAGAATACAGCTGTTGGTTTTGCTCACATTGGCTATACTCTGAATTTACCTACAAACAAACCCCACATTCAGTTTGAGACAGATACCCACGCAAGACAAAAACACCTACAAAAGAGTCCCTTTTTTAAAGATACTGCAGTTTTACTTTGTAAAACCATAGTAGTCATTTTCAGTAATTGAACTGGAAACTTCCCCTAAAAAAAGTTTGCACGCCTATGCTGTAGATGTAACTCTGACTTGATGTGGCCGAATTTATTCGCTTTCACTACTGGTTTCTCCTGTAAAAAGCACAGCAAAGTTGCAAACACGGGTTAGTCAAGCACAGTGGCAGAGATTCCTTGTGATGCTCAGCTCTGAGCAGAGCGGGAGAGCCCAGGCCTCCCTCCCCAGGCCCGGCAGGAACGGGAGCAGACACCTGCCAGAGGGGATCACTTTGCATTGCTCTAATTTGCAACTCAGTTTCTGAGTTTTCCCTGAAGAAAAGCTATAGTACATTTTAGTTAGCAACATTAACAGACAGCATTCACCTACTTAAAGTAAGACAAGGGGACCTGAACGTATTAAAGCCAGAACTTGAAAACCACATATTAGACAACACCAGTGTTTTAAGTTTATGCAGATGTCACAGGTCAGATCCCAGAAGCAGTTAATACATTTAGGTTGACCATTTGTAGTAAATTCTCTCTCCACCAATACCTCTGTGTCTCTTCTCTCAGTTATAATCCCTTTCTCTTACTTTGGCATAGACTACATAGCTTATTTTCACTAAACAGAATCACATTTCCTAAGCACAGCCTGAATTAAACCTTTGCTATGAGTTGTCCCGAAGTACATTTACAAGCAGAAATCTGAGTGCCAATTTTAGGATAATGCAAATGTTGAGAAGTTCCAATACCATTACTGGATCAACTCCTTATGAAAAGTCTATTTCAGACTGTCCTGCCAGTCCATTTCAATGAGCAGTAAGACACAGTGAAGCACCAGGCACATATTCCCTTCTCACACTTACAAGCCTGTCAGACAAGAGCACCTGTTCTACTTGTACCTACAGCAAGAATTCCAATATTTACCTTACAAAGAGGAAAACCACCAAGTTACATCTTCCATCCCTTTCCCAAGACAGCAAAGAATAAATAGGAAAAGACCTCAGATTTTGTTATTTAGCTAAAGTTCTGAATAAAATTATTGTCTTAGGAGAAAGAGTCAGAACTGGGTTTTCCCCTTTGAAGGCTGCTCCTCCTGTTACTAATGTGGTGTTCAAAATATTTCTGTGTCTTTGGCTCATGGTGCTTTACTATATCATCTTGCTAGGCATACCAAAATCTCACATCAAGTGACATTTAAGCACTTAAGACATGAAAAATTAGGCATTCAGGACCTTTGCTACAACCACCTTCAACAAACTGCTCCATAGCACTTTACACTGGTTTGTACTTGGTCAGTAAGCTTGAGGTCTGCTGAAAACAAATATTTTCACATGATTAAGGCCATAATCTTATACTGACAATTCACAGGCTAAACATGAGACTAGAATCATTTTGATAACTGAAGTAACTGGAGGGAAAAGGAAGATAAAATGCAAGCAGTTCAATCCGTGTGCGCTGCTCAGGTACCTCAGCGGGCGAGGACAGCGAGGGCTGTGCAGTGGGACACAGCACATGTCCAACAGCTTTATGTCACTGTCTGGAACAGAACAAATCCTATGCTAAAAGAAATAAATGCTGACATTTGCGACAAGAGCCAGTCCTAGCTCTTAATCCCTTTGGAAAAGCGAGTTGTACTAGACTATTCTGTTGCTGAAAATGAATTCCTGGAAGTACTGTGCTTCTGGAAACCCGCACCCACCCAGTGGTAAATCATCAAGAGAAGATGCAAGTCACACAATCAATAAAAAAATCCCAAAAAACCTAAAACAGAGGCAACACTGATCAGGGACATTTCCCTACCCCCCCCCCCCCGACATCAAAAAGAACTCAATTAAGCTCCTGATGTCATTAGTTTGTAGATTTAGTCTAAAAGAAACACTAGTGCTGTAACTTATTGCAGTTCTGACATTTCAGTGCACAGTAACGAAGGTCAGTGGCTCAACTAAAACCTCAGGTTTGGTAAAATGGCCCTTGGAGCCGGCTGGACACGCTGAGGTCTGGGAGCATCGTGTTCACCTCGGCAGCCACGCAGGGAAAGGGAATGCTGGAGTAGGGACAGTAAGCACGGGAGCACACAGCTCAGCATTTACTAAGGCCCATTTAAGTGGTCTGGATAATAAATCACATTAAGACCTAGTAAATCTATAAAAAAATGTAAAAAAATCTTACAAAGTTCTGAGCAGTTTTCCAATGAAACTGTTTTGGTTTAAGGCTTGGGACTTTCCCGGTGTCCAGATCCTACAACAGATTTGCACTTAAGCTCTGTTGTCACCTCTTTGACACGTCGCCTTGTCCTGCACAAGGTTTAGCTAAGCAAGGAAAGCTGTCAGAAACAACCATTGAGGAAACATGCAAAGCAAAAGGATGTCACTGCAAACATGTCTGCTAGGTTTCAGACGAGCATGTGTTGTCAACTACCAGAAGAGAGACACTGAAAATCACAGAAATTCTGTAGTAACAACTGCACTGTACCCCTTGGGTTGTTTGTTTTTTTAACTGCTAAAGCATAATGAGACTTTATAGAAATGAAACAGGAGACATTTTTTTGTTGTTGCTGTTAAGCACATTAAATACAGGATTGTTTTTCCAAAAAAAAAAACAAGGGACAGAATTGTTTTTTGCAATATTGTAGCACAACTGCTTCAGTCAGATCACGGCCCTGTACCACAGGCCCTACAAAAGGAAAAGTGTCAGAAGTGTTCCATCTCTTTTGGGTCATTTGAGAGGTATGCACAAGAGACTTGCAGGAACAGAAATAATGAGTCATCCACAGATACTCATTTCACAAATAACCATCACAACGGATTTTTGTCATACACTAAAGTGCACATTTGTCAAATATGCAAACACCACCTCCTATTAAAAAAGGTATTTTCGAATTATGTGGTTGAAAGCACACATAGGACTGCATTTTTAGTGATATTTGGTGACTTCAGCAGTGACAGAGAGCTCTTCCCTTTGCAATCCCTTTGTCTTAAACCAGGACATAAGGATAAATAAGATTTTCACTACAAATATTTTGACCTGTTCTGCACAAAAAAAGGGAACTGCACCCTTTTCTCTGACAAAGAGAATCTTTAAATACAACTGTATGAAAATATAACTTAAATATAAAATAGTCAAATAGATTTGAGGAGACTTGGAAAAAAATCTTTGTTCCACCTATTAGTTCCATAGGTACCCGGTAGCAAGTAAACATTTGTACTTAAAAAAATAATGTTAAGTTACAGCTTGTAACCATAAACTATTCTGCTCTAGGAATTATGCTGCAAAAGCCAGTTTTAGTAATAAAACACACTCCTTTAACTTAGTCAACTCTGATGCCTTTTTGAGAACTTCTTACACTGTCTCATCAGTAACCAAAAGTGAAAGATTCTGATCTGTTCTCTCTGATCTTCTCTGACACAAAACTCCTTAGTGACTCATCTTTAACACCTCTGCAGTTTTTCACCCATGATGAGAAGACATTCTTGCATAATTGGTCAGTGTGTCTGTAGTGCAACTGAGCTGGAAGTCTTCCAACTGCTCCCCTTCTGTTGGGAGACCTTGCTTTTTGAGTCAGTTTGTATGCGAACGGAGATGCAATTGCAACATTAAACCCCACTGACAAAGTTCTTTTTGCCACGAAAAACCTGCAATCACACAGGCCAGGGGCTGTGTCATACGGGCAGACCAAAGCGGTGCTTCTTCTTCTTGATGGGCTTCAAGCTGGTCAGCCTGCGCAGATCCTCCTCGGCCTCCGACTCCTCCATCTCGTCATCGGCTGAAATCAGGATCTAAAAACAAATGTGGACCACTCACTCTTTCTTCTTTCTGCTTTTAAACTTTCACCTTTTTTTTTTTCATGCTTGCAAAGCGCCTTGTTGTCAGGGAAGAGGTGACAGACCACAATTAGGATTTACTGCCTGCACTGTCAAACACCATCACACACCTTATCTGGGAGCTCCATAAATTTCAAAGAAGGATGCATGCATATTGATCTCACTACAGCCACTGAGCCTAAACCTGCACCTCCAGAACAGCAGGGGCAGTTTGAGAGAGAATATTTAAGCTCTCTCTCCAAACTGGTACCATGGAGTCATTTTATTAAGGAAAACCTCCTATAAATAGCACTGTTTATCACACAGAAAAGTTACATTAACTTACTAAAGCTAAAACAACTTACCCTCAAAGAAATGACCCATCCCTTCAGCTAAACTAAAAGCTGCTCACTTAGTGTGATTTAGAATAAAATTATGCTAAGGCAAGTATGTAAATGGTTCTCCAAAATCAGGTCAGTTGCCTCCACCAGCTCCCTCTCACTTTAAGCTATTAACCTCTCTTTGAATTAGAATTGTCTGTTTGTTTTGTATCCCCTGTGGGGTGGGTTTTTTTTAAAAGTATCTGCAGCACAGCTCACCTGGGATATTTACATATTTTATTGTGTCTTCCTGCCCATCTGGAAGGAAATCAACTGCCAGAGTGGTGCAACAAAGACATTTTTCTTAACTGGTTCTCCACAGCAAATGCTGGGAACTGCTGCTAGGGGTACATGCACAGAAAATCAAACCTCAGTTGACAGTGTTCCAATGAAATCAATGGCAGGAGGGGTGAACTGGGTTGATATTGCATTAACTGCAGTGGTGAACTCTACATACTTCTGACTCTGACTCTTCATGTGACGCTGCTCTCCTGTACCGGACTTTACTTCCATTTCTTGAATCTTGTCCTGCTTCCTTTTCTTCAAGTTTAGCTTTTGTCTTCCCTTTCTTCATAAGAAAATTATCTACTACCCAGAACATCAATGCCTGTCAAAGAGAAGGGGAAAGTGACAGTTCAGCTTTCTTCAGAGTAGAATAAGTTCATTTGGTCAGTATTTGGAGTTGACAATAATTCTGAATTGGCCAAACCACCTTGTGCAGGCACAGTGCCACATGGCTTTTTACACAGCACAGGAATGCCCCAGAACCCAGCTACTTGATTCCTTTGTGGAAGAGAAGAAAATAAGAAAAGTAGTGACTATTCACAGTGATTATATATTAACTCTTCATGCAGCAAAGCTTTACCAGCAGTTATTAAATGCAAGGACACCCACTATCCCTGGCTCTAATCCCTAAATCCCAGATTCCTGAAAGAGTACACTTTGGGAAGCATGACTGCACCCTTGCCCTTTTCCTCTGCTCCACCATAGGCCAGCCTGTGGTCAGACACTGGATACTTCACATTACATCTGTCCTTAGACCAACTGCTTCCTGAAGCAAATTTCACTGCAATTTTATAACCTCTGTGTCAGTATTTCAGTATTACATCCAACCTACTGAAGTCATCAGGCCAAAGAGGTCTATGAGGCATTTCTGTCCCTCTCCTGAGCCCCATCCCTTAGCTCAGTGTGGATTTTAGCTTTGTAAAATCTACATATCCAGACATTTTATCCATTCCTTAACACCCCTTCTCTTAAGCACCAAGATAACACTGTGTTTTAAGGACTAATGTTAATTAATGAAGATGTGGTAGAAAGATCTCCAAGCAAACATTTTAGAGAAGCGTTCAAGTTGTACTAACATTAACAAAGAAGGGAACTATCAGCATGACGATGGCCAGCTCCAGCTGGGGGTTCTCTATGGGATTCAATAAAGCCACCTGTGAAAAGAAGAGCACAAGTTCAGATCAGGGCAGCATGTGCACAAACTGGGTTAGGCAGTGCAATGTTCATGTGCCAGCTAATGCGACAGAAATAACGCAGAGGAACCAAAAAAGGACAGCTTTGAGAAAAGCAAAGTACTTAGGACAGCTTATAAATTACCACAGATAAGTAAGTGGGGCTGACAAGAAACTTATCTCTGTCATTTTTGCTTACAGAAATCTGAGGAGCTGTGTGAGAATCATCTTGGACATTTTAGAGCTGTGTGCTCCCAAGGAACATGTCTTAAGTTCCATCTTTAGGAAATTTAAATAGAGCAAAGTTTTACAAAATGCACAGTAGGAAGACAGTTCCCAAAGTAGTCCAGAGCAAACAACAAGGCTAAACTGGTTTTAATGGGCTGTAACAACATCACTTTGAAAATTCAGCTGCAGAGTCTATCAAAATAAATATTTATCTAGTCATCAGCAGTGGCTTTACAATCCACTGCAAACTTCTAAAGGCTACAGTTAAATCTATTAAAAAGGTCAGACGAAGGAAATTCTTTAAAATTTAAATGCAAGAATATAAAATAGCCATAAGTAAGAGTTAAAGAATTAAGAATAAAGAGCACGTTAGACAAGGACATAGAATAAAATTTTAGATATCAGAGTATATAAAAAACCCCTTCAAAATATGATAGGATGTTCCTGGCAATGGATGTCAGGAAGCCTCATTAGCAGTATCCCAATTAAACTAAAAGAACATATCAGTACCACAGATTTAATAGCAATGACTGTAGACAGCTATGATGCCTGAACCAAACCCAGAAACACTACCTAAAGTCTTTACAGCTTCCACCTGAAATTCATTTGTCTGTAAAATGCTGTAAAAGGACAAACCTCTTTCCACTGAGGTATAAGCAGCACTATGATGATGATGGTTTTCTCAAATGTCATAATCATTATGTACAGAGCACACTGGCCCACCCAAGCACTGCACTGCAGGGGGTCACCTGCAAGGAAGAAGGAAGGTTCAATACATGCATAGATTTGATTTTACTTCACAGTAAACACCTCAGAAAAGCAGTGTTGGAAGAGGCAGCAGGGCAGCTAAATCCTCTGAAACTGTCCTCTCCTGATTCCTTTAGGGCTGCTCCTTCCCCTCCCTCAGCCTCACCCCACCTTTCAAAAAGAAACTGGATCTCACAGGACTTGATCCAATTCAGCAGTACCTGTACTAAGAGCACTGTTTCATATAATCTGATGAAAGCAAGACAAATAAAGTTGCATTACATTTGTTTCCCAGCCCATTGTTAATTTTGACCCTCTGTCATGAAGCATGAAGTTTTCCTTTGAAAAGGAAAACTTAAGGGAAACACAGTTGGGGGAAAACACACTTCTCTTCAGTCTAAGTAGAACCATGATTTTGCCACTCTCCCTGGGCTACCTTAAACATATTTTTCCTCTCTACAAAGTTAGTGACCATAAGTAACTGATCACAACTGAAGCAACATGTGCAAGGGCTCCTATGAAAAATTTAATTGAACAAAAAAATTAAGATCACATTTTAATTTCAATGTCAAAGGGTTTGAAATTCTGCTGCACCCCACTGTGGCAGAGTAAGAACCCGAGTGCATGAAGTTATCTGCCAGAACAGGATGAAAACCACAAATATTTGACCAGGAAAACTTGTGCAGATTCTTAGACTCTATGAAAGAGAGCAGGAAAAAAAAAAAGAGGAAAAAAGAGGAGTGTTAGGCCTAACAAGCTTTGCAGGTGAGTTCAAAGCAGCACTTCACTGGAAAACAAAAGGAAGGTCTGGAGGGGTATGACAGCACTTTAGTCTTTGCTGCAGCTTCTGTAACATCTTTAAAGACAGCTCAAAACTTTTAGCCTGGGGATGAATAATGGGCAATGGAAAATCAGATGCCTTTATGTGTTTGTAATGCATAATGGACAGTTGCTACTTCCTTTTCTGGAACATTTCTGAAAGGCTTTCAGGATTAATAGTTGGTAATAGGCTGAGACTGTTTGCAGCTTAAATGCCACACAGAGAAACTGGTAAATCAGATTGGAGTCCAAAACAAAGCAAACTTCCTAACCACGTTTTACAGTGTGAGCTAATGATCAACACTCAACAAAATGCTCAAGTTTCACAACTACATACTGTAGTTTATGACAGTCTCTCAGTAGTATCCTTGCAGAAAAGCTGGGAAGGATGGACTGGATGGGTGGAGACACAATTCTGATATAAAGGAAAAAAGCTTTCACAATGAGAGTGGTTAAGTACTGGAGTAGATTGTTCAAAGGGGTTCTTAAATCTCAAACCATGGACAAATTAACAACTGGATGGACCATGCCCTGAACAACACACTTCAGCTTTGAAGTTAATCCTGCTTTGAGCAAGAGGTTGGATCATATGACCTCTGGAGATCCCTTCCTATAAGCCATGAAATTCAAGTTGTTAACATCACCACATCCAGAAGGTGCTCCCAAGAATATTTAGGACATTTGTACATTCAGAGGCTCAGTATACAAACTCAAATTAGAACTTCAGTGTTCATGTTGAAGTCAAAGCTCTAATTCCATTTCTAAAGTCTCTCACAGCTTCTCTTGAATTCTAATTTTATACCTCTTGTGTACAAGTTGCATTTATAGAATAATCCAGCAAATTAGTGGAAATCTTGTTACTGCGAGAAAAGCAAATAAAGAATGAAACTGAAACATTTTGAACCCTCTGCAGTGACACTGTAGCAGCATCTTAGGAATATGCTGGGCAATGCAAAAGTAGTCTATACCAGTGTCTGCTACTGCCATCAGCTGCTTTGCAGAAGCACGTTTTCAGACAGCTCTTGAACAAGATACCTGTTATTCCTCTATCCTGTATCTTCTCTCTGTTCTTCAAATCCTGAAAAATTCTCTCAAGAAAACCCCAACTCACAGAACAACTCCAAAACAAATTTTCAATAGTTTTAAAGTCAGTACTCTCTACCCCACATGGCTGCAAGTAACTTGCTCTGCCAGTGGCAAACAAAGAGCTGGAGGGAAAAGATGCATCAGATACAGTTTCTCAGTTTTGCCACATGAGAAGCAAAGACAAGCAAAGAGTCCACAGCACATTCAGTTGCCAGCAGAGTTTACAGTCACCAAGAGGGATTTATCACCTGTTTGCTACTCACACAGCTACAGCAGCCCAAGACAAGAAGGGAAGGAGAACACAGGGAACATTCTTTTCAGCACAGCTCATGACTGCTTTTCTCCTCTTTACATACTCAAATATATTAACTGATTCTGCACCTCTACTAAAATCCAACTGCTGACGTGATGAATCTGAAAATACAAAACTGGAAATATGAAGACAAATCTAATAAAATTTAAAATTCTGACATTAAAAAAGCCCCTGAGGGATCATCATGCTACTTTGTTCATAAATCAGCATGTGGTGCTGTTTTGCTGTACAAACAGCAACCATTTATAAATGCTGATATTTTGGTATCCATTCCTTCCTTGAGGCATTTATGCTTAAAAACTATCCTCCATATAAAGAAGAAGCTTTTAAAACCAGCAGGACACTGCTATTTTTGTGACAGCTTCAAGTAATGAATCACCAGGGATCAAGTAATAGAGCTAAGAAGGGAAATGAGCTCACAGTGAGAACTAACTTGAGACAAATGATTATTTAGGCTCTAGAAACACAAACAACATCACTCAGTCACAAGAAGAGACTTGTCTGGGGACAGGGGGGGAAGGTTCTTGTTTGTTTTCCTGCACTTGATAACAAACTGAAATCACAGTGATCTCCAAGCTGAGAACTTGGCTTTACTACTCCAAATAAAATGCCCCAAGATTTGATACCTTTCAATGAGCAGACCCCTGGCCACCCACGGGGTGGAGAAGAGAGGAGAAGCCTGGAGAAGAGAAGGCTCTGGAGTGACCTTATTGTGGCCTTCCAGTACCTGAAAGGGTCTTTTGACAAGGGCATGGAGTGATAGGACAAGGGGGAATGGCTTCACCTTGACAAAGGGCAGCGTTGATCTTTTTAAGACAGAAGGTGCATGCTGAGATATAGAACTTAAAAGAACCTTCATTACAAGTAAAATACTAAAATGACTGTGAAATGATCTTCAGATGAGTTAAGCACTGGCTGAAATACTCTGAGATTCTCTCCTGGAAGTCATTTCAGCCCAGAAGAGGGCCCATTTACCATATTCCCCAAAGCGAAGGGACTCCCACTGCTGCCACTCCACGAGGCTGCTGACGGCTCGGATCCCGATGTAGATCAGCAGCATTCCCAAGGTGGCATCGAGCAAGAAGTTGATAAGGTACCTGAGAGGAAAAATGTAAGAGAAAACAAGGAGCAAAGGTCCATTTTCTACAGGTTCAGGGTATTTTAATACCACAATCAATAAAAGATCTGTTGCACACGTGTTGAGAAGCCAGAGTATGGAGAACAATCATCTACCCACCTCTGTAATTACACAGACTAAAATTTATATAGTTTTAGCAGTCTCAATATTTTGTTTCTGTCCTTAAACTTAAATTCCAAATTCATGAACTCTGCTGTGTGCATACTCTACATAAACTCCAACATTAAATTATTCCTTGAAATTAAAACCAGATTTCTTTTTTACCATTACAGTTTAATTTTGCATGGAAACTTGACTAAAACCAAAGGAATAAGACCAGAAGTTACCTTAAAGACATCTCAATGAATTTGAAGGTAAAAAGTCCAACCTAGAAGTTTTATGCCAAGGGGGAAAGTCAACACAACTAGAGCTTTTCTTGCTCAAGGGAGCCTGTTCCCTGCCCCAGCAATGAGCAGTGAGCAGTGAATACCATACCCAGAGAGTACTGTCACTACTGAGGCCAAATTTCAACTTATTTTGTGTTAGGAACTGATCTACTTTCTTGCACTTCAGTTCTTATCCAATGAACATTTAAGTATCAGACATAAGCCTTCCCAGGAAAAAATCCATAACCAAACCAAACCAAACCAGCCCTCAAGGGACAAACTGCTGCAATACTAATTTTATTGTTTCAAAAGCAGCTTCTGGGATCTTACCTATGCTTCAAAAAACCAGAGATTTCAAATTAATTCTTAGGGTCATTTGAAGATGCAGCTGAAATTCAGAGCATTTTCTAAGTCAGTTTGGTTTATTTAATATCACCAGTTTTAGCTGAACAAAACTGCATTTGAGAAAGAGCCAGCTGTAAGAGATATAGTAAATCCCTGTTATTGAGGTTCTTATTTGGTAATTCCAAATACTTAAGGTAAACCCTAGAGTCTATAGGAACTTATCTGCAGGGATAAAAACAGCAATCAGGGACCTGTGGGCTTCTGCAGCTGCAGAGACAAATCCACATGGGCCAAACAGCATCAAAAGTGTAAAGCAAAACAGAATTTGTGCATTCAAAATAGTAAAAGAGGAGCTCCTCTGACCCTCAAAATCCCATTCAAGAGCAGGTGAAAATTAAAAATGAAGTGGATGTTCCATAAGATTCCTAAAAATAGTTATTTTCTAAGAACTGTCTGGCAAATCTCAGTTTTAATTAACTTCATATTAGACCAACATGAAGACCCAGAAGGAGGCAAACTCGGCACTGACAAGCCTGCACAAGTCACGCTGAGGCCACAAGAGGCTGCTGTAAGCCCGCAGCAGGAAGGCAGCGCCGGGAGCAGGGAGACACCTTCACATCCAGTCACGGCTCCCGGCACGGCCCCAAATTCCAACAACCACCCGCCCATCAAGGTGTTTGTAAGAGTTGTTTTGTCAGCTTTGATATGATGACACGCAGCACTACATCCCCCAGCTAACGAATGGCAACTTCCAGTTGTAGTTCTCTCCAAGCTCTGAACTACAGTGTTTTCTAAAACTACATTTTCTGGTTTTGTTCTGAAAAGAACCCAAAAGCTACAAAACAGGAAGGAACAGAAAACCACCCAAGTTTGAATTTGCTGAGTAAAATTATTATTATTTCAAGTCACAGACAGAAATGTTGCTTTTAGTCGCTAGTTTTGACCCACTTTCAAATTTTATATATATTTTTCCTAAGACAGGACAAGCAGCTTTGGGTAATATTACATGGTATTTTTTCTGCTAAAAAGAACCTACACCCTTGTCTGAGAAATTATACAGCTGCACACTGTAATTTCTGTTATCCTGAGAACAGTGGATAACCTCACTCTCTTGTTTTGTGTCATGTTACACTTACATTAAAGTGGCATTTGAAAATAAAATTATGCAGACTGCAGGAGAGAATGCACTTGTCAGTAAACCCTTTATTTTGAAGGCACAGTACACGGCACAAAGGTATTTTTAAAATACTGTAATAAACTATTGTGCTTTACCTTTAAGCAGTGATAATTTTCGACATGCTTTGGGGAGCTCACTTGAATGTATACTTTGAGTTATAAAAGGGGAACAAAAGCAATTTTCACCTGCCAGTTTTTAAATCTGTCAGGAAATTCTTAAATCTGTAAGCAAGGAAAATCCTTACAATGATGCCTGGTATTACTGAAACTGTCATCATTATAACTCAAACTTTACAGTTAATGTGTTAAAATAAATGCAATTTCCCTACCAAAATGCTCTGTGCTGGGAAGAGGGAAAGCTGTGTTTTCCTTGTGCATTTATAGCCTGTAGGAACACAAAAAGAAACCAAGGGGGAATAAAGGAAATAAAACAGGCTTGTGCAGCAACACAAGCATATTCCTTGAGCTGTGTGTCTCCTTTGTTTAGCAAAGGACAACAAGTGAGCAGATGCCACTGAAGGGACTGGATTGGTCCTAAAAGGCAAATTACTGGGTTTTTTAAAAGTAATTTCGCAGCTTCCATTACCAGGACTGTGTAGCTACTTCGAGCCTGAGCCTTATCAAGAACAAACTCAAACAATTACCATTTGCTTCAGGAGCTCCTGTAAAGAGCCTGATGGGGTCTTAGTCATCAAATCTTCAGGTTTAACACACTACAGTGCAACGTTCATCTGTTTAGTCACAGCGCTCCAAGCGTGACATTGCAAAATTAATTTCTGCTGTGAGTGCCTGACTGCTGAGTAGGATTCCCCAGTCTTAACAAAATGAAAACAATGCTGCAGCAGCAAATGCAGAGCTTAGAAGAAAGTAGAAGCACAAATGATTTTTGCTAAATAACCCTGAAAGCAACCTGCCTTTGTATGTGAGCTTGGCTTTAACACAGTGAGCAGAGCACTGGGAGGGCAGTGGGCACAGCTGGATACTCATTTCCTCTGGTCCCAGCACCTCCTTCAGTGAACAGACTCATACTACAACGTGCATCCCAAATCCTCACTCGTTCACTGCAGAGGGAGAAGTAGTAAGACTTTGCCCTAGGTCTAAAATATCTATATACAGCCCAGAATCCTGCCAGCCATGAATTTAAAGAGCAGAACTCCAACCCTTGATCATTAACTAAGCTTAAACCACACGCTTTTGAAAGTGATTGATTTTTAGAATGAAAACTGGTTTTTCAGTTCTACCTTACCCTACCATCCACACACACCATGAAACTCAGCCACAGAACTTCCACAAAGACCAATTATTCTAAAATGAAACACTCACAGTGAACAGGGGTCTTCTTCTGTAAGGTCTGACAAATAGACATTTGCAAAGTGGATGAACAACATCCCTATGGCTTGCTTGGAAGTATCTAAAAACCTGTGGAGAGTAAAAACAGCTTTTAAGACACACAAAACTGCTTACATGATAAAGGTGTCATGGTATTTAGCTTATTTAACAACGTTCCATTTCAAATTCTGCCCCTGTTTCTTCTTGAATACTGCTAACAATAACCCAAATCATATTAACTTGAAACCTACCCCTGTAAATTTAAAGTCTGTGGATATCCTCTTGGTATCACATGCATTATCCATGAGTTAATCCTCAATAAATCTAGCTAAGTCTTTAATAACCCCTGGGAAACAATGAGTATCCTGGTCTCTCTAGGTATTTTGGGCCTTTCATGTTTATACATTTTTAGCAAGTTTATGGTACAGACAAAAATAAAATCCTCATCACAGGCTTGTGGGTGAACAATTTAATAGCTGGCTAATGAGTTCTTTATCTACAGTATTTTATTTAAAAGCCAACGTATTTTTTATCTGAAAGCATGAAGTGGTTTCACCGAATTTTATCTGTAGTACAACAGCTTAAAACACACTGCAGAATTCCAACCTTGACAGCATTATCTTCAAAGCAGGTGACAAAGCCAGAGAGAAAGTCGTTCGCCACTTAAAGGGAAATATAAATACCCCATTTAGATACTGATTCAGTATTGACTCTGACCCTTACCATTCTTTTACCATCACCCTTTGCACAAAACCAAAACTTTTAGTGGGCATTTTATTAGATGTTAAATACAGCAATCATAACAAAAGTATTCTGCAGGCAAGAGTGTGTTCTTTATACAGAGCAACACCCATTTTGCCTGTTGTTCCCACATCTAAAAAGATCCAAACACCCCAACAGACCCAAATGACATTTCATGCCTGAATTCATCCACTCTCCCTGATAACTTTGTCTTAAAGCTCCTTCTCTTCATTCACTGCACGACACAGAAAGCAGAGTGTTGGAGATGAGGCAGGAAGCCAGTGAGTTACTTATCTAATCAGTGTGCCAAGCTAAAAATAACAATACTTGAGTTCCAGAACAAGATTCTTTGCTTAAAAATTAAGGGCTATCACTGCACTTGTCAGAATTTCAGGCTGAGGTAGACTGTAGCACACAAAGATTTTGCATTTATTTTTTCAATAAAATAAAGATCAGGATTAGTTTGAAAAGCAGCACCCTATGAGGTGAATTTAAACCACTGAAACCTGCAACAAGCAGAATGACAACCTAACATTTACACCAGTCTAAAAACTGGTACAGCTGATGTTGCATTGCTTCAACCCAGGAACTTTTAAAATGTAATAAACACCAATACACTTTTTATACCTTGTATTCTTCTATGGCTGATGTATTTCTATCTTTTATCATACTGTTTTCTATTTGATACACAGTAAGATAGCTACAGAACATGGAGTTCTGTTTAAGCCCAGCTGAGAGCTTCCTGTAAGCTTATTTAAGTTTGTGCATGTTCAGACGAACCTTAGGGCAACTCTAAGTTTCCATGTTCAGGAGGAACCACAGCCTGAAGCTTTATGTCTAAATGAACATCTCTGTAGAGATTCCTGGAAGTGTTTAGCAAGAAAGGACTCACCAGAAAACACACAGAAGGTAACTTTTCACTGACTCATGTATTCTGGTAATTTTTCTGGTTCCTCACTGTCAGTTACCAATTTCTTGCCATCACTTTTCTCTGTTTTAATCATCATATGCAAACAATCATCCCTTCAATTTCTAAAACATGCAAGAAACAAACAAAAATTCAGAATAAAGCCTGCAGAAACCCACCATATCCTCCAGGGACGTCTTTCGTGCTTTGGTTCTCTGAAGCGCTTTACTAAGAAGAAAAAAAAATAAAACAAAAATTAATTGAAGACAATCAGCAACTCCCAAAGCCAAAAAAAAAAAATATAGAAAAAGGAAAGCAAATCATCTTGCAGAAATGTTACATTCTTTGATAAATTGGATCTTTCAGTACTGCACTTTATCAATCTCCAAGGATCCATGTTTAAAGGAACTGGTTCCCTTCCATCACCTTCAAGTTTTTGCAACTTGCTCCTCTGAGTGCCAGGAGACCTCATATGGAACAATAATCCATGTCCCACCACCATTCCATTGGCCTGAGCTTTTAAAACAGCCCATCCAGGAAGTTTAATTTCTGACAGGAAAGCAGGGATTAGAAAAAGCTGGTTTTTTTGCTCACTGGAGTCCAAAAGTCAAATTGGAAAGTATTCTTGCAGTATGAGGCAATATTATCAGATAAATTAAGTCAATTAATAGGAAGACAAACATATTCTCTGACAAAGTGTCTTTGTGTATGACAAGACTTTTGTGGGCAAACTGAATTGCAAAAGGAAAGCAGGACGGATGGTTTTTAGTCAGATAATCCCTTCAAAAAAAAGGTTGATAATTGTTACATATTAAAAACTCCAAAAAAATCCGTAGTAAAATTAATGCCAATTATAACAAAGGTAAAAAAACCCCAGTAAGTTTGTTTATTTTGATTTTCATACAGTTTATAATACAAATTGTTTGGGTGTCTGATAGAAAGCTCTTCTCACACCCTGCCCAGGTCCACGTGGAAGGACCTAGATGATTCATGAAGGAACAAGTGTAGGAAAATAGAGGGGCAAGGGGATAAAAACAGTTGCTCATTTGTAAACAGTGGCTTGTCCAAACATTTGTACTGTCTGATCTGCAGCTGTCCTATCTTCTTAGGAAATCCCATTTCTAACTCCTTCTGGGCAAGGAAACCTTTTTCCCTACTGGGAACACACACTCAGCCCTGCCATGGGTTGGACCACAAACTTATTTTCTGTTACTGCTGCAAGATACTAATTCCTTACTCATCCCAAAGACAGACCAAAGATAACAGGGAAGAGGAAACCTTTCCACTAAGGATGGGGTTTATATATGGGTTTTCCTTCCTTCTGGCCAAGGTTCACTGTCACTCACCAGCTCCTTCAATGTAAGTCTCGAAAAATAACTAAGCTCTTATTGCAGAAATTATCTCTTATAAAAAAATTAAGTCCCAATTCCCCTCCAACCTTTGAAATCGCAGAGATTTGGACTTCAAAAAGCACAAACCACAGCAGGTGCAGTCAGGCAAAACATCAACAGGTATCTTAACCTGTTTTCCAGGTACTAGGGATGAATTCCAGTCTGACACAGGATGCTGGGTGTAAGTTATGCTTGCCCAGCTTACAAGCTTTTAAACCACAGTCTGGTTTCTGAACCAATCACAATTTTTTTACAAGTAAGGCAATTTCCTGAGAGGCAACTGTCCTCATACTATACAGCATTAACAGAGTGACCTAAATGCCTTTAAATAAATAAAAAGCTGAATGAATCACCTCCAAGCTGGAGGGGCAGCACTTGCAGGGAACGCCAAGCTCCCAACCTGCCATCTCACTGTCTGTCACTGCTTCTGGCAGCAGGGAGAAACATGGGAAATTAAAAAGTGACAAGAGGAAAAGACTGTACATTTACACCAAAGATAAAGTTGTAATAGCAACATTTGCCAGCAGTTTTCTCCGTGAACAGCATGACAGAAATACAAAACTTCTGTTAAAAATGAGCAACACCCAGCCAAGTTAACCAGTTTGTTATTTATGACAAGTCCTCCCCAGTCACACTATGGATTACTTTAATTAGTGGCTCTTTTGTATAACAACAGGAAGCCAAAAAGCATCACAAAACAAATGCAAGGAACAGAAGTTTCAGTTTACTGTGGAGTTAGTGCAAGATGCTTTTCTGCACACAAAATGGAATTAAACCGGTAAGATGGGCATATTTTGGGGAGGGGTGAATTCCAAACGTAGGTTTTTGGCTTTTATTGCAGTGAAGTTCTATAAGCCTGTGGATTCATTAATTTCCTTAAAGAATTCACAAAAATTCATTTTGGAAGAAGATATTCCAAACCAATTCAACTAATACCATTTCAAATGTCACCCCTACTGAGAAAGAGACTCGAGGTCTGTGTTTCTCTGGCCAGCTCTGAAAACACATTTCATTTGAGTTAACAATAAACAGGAGAGTTAACTTTGAAAGCCTCTCAGTTGTCTTTTGGGAATGCACTGATCACACCACCAACTTCTATCTCCCCAAATTAAATGAGACAATCTGTGCAAATGCTTTAGGAGGTGCTATGTGCTGAATATGTACCTTTTCACTTGAAGGTCCAGTAGATCTTTTTTTTTAAAAAAAAAGTTGTGATTGGTTCAGAAACCAGACTGTGGTTTAAAAGCTTGTAAGCTGGGCAAGCATAACTTACACCCAGCATCCTGTGTCAGACTGGAATTCATCCCTAGTACTTGGAGAAGCAGGTTAAGATACCTGTTGATGTTTGCCTGACTGCACCTGCTGTGGTTTGTGCTTTCTGAAGTCCAAATCTCTGTGATTTCAAAGGTTGGAGGGGAATTGGGACTTAATTTTTTTTATAAGAGATAATTTCTGCAATAAGAGCTTAAATAGTTATTTTTTGAGACTTACATTGAAGGAGCTGGTGAGTGACAGTGAACCTTGGCCAGAAGGAAGGAAAACCCATATATAAACCCCATCCTTAGTGGAAAGGTTTCCTCTTCCCTGTTATCTTTGGTCTGTCTTTGGGATGAGTAAGGAATTAGTATCTTGCAGCAGTAACAGAAAGCCCATACATGAAAGTGCTGTTTGCTATTAATACAATAATTTTAGAACAAAAAGCCAGTGTGTTTTTCCAGCAAAGATTCTGTACATTTTTTAAGCATCTATCCAAACTGGGCAGGGGAAAGCAATTCTTCCAGTGGCCCTCCCCCAGAACATGTGAGGACTGTAGCTGCTCTCAGCCCCAGTCCCAATTTCTCCTGGCAGTTCCTCTGCCCCCCCCCAAACTCGTGTGTGTCAGCTGACAGATGGGTCCCAATCTGCCGGCTCCTCGGCACTCCATATGCTCCGGCTTCCAGCACTGCACTCACACCAGCAAGAATCCACCAGATTTAATATTAATTAACTAATAATGTTCAGAATTTCATGCTGAATTGTAAATGAAGAGCGAAGTGCTGCTTGTTTATACACTGGGTGCCAGAATTTTTCAGGAAAGGAAATAAAAGCACTTGTGCCAACAAGCATGTGAGCTGCCAGATGGACAGATAATAGATAAGCATATAAGGCACAGTATTGCTAATGCAAAATTCAAGTTCATTGAATTGTCTTCCCACTTCATTGAAATTCTAGGAATAATTAATGCCAGAGTGCTCTGGAAGGGTTTCTAACACTTTCTTTAACATAGGAGGTTTGCAAGCAGAAGTTCAGAAGACTCATGGGGAAGAATTAAGGCCAAAACGGACAAGAAATAAAGTAAATCATCTCCCAGTTGTCACTACAAAAAGCAACACTTGAATCTGTATTACAAATTCAGCCTTTCTTTCTCTCCCTCCTTCACCTCCTCAAGAAGTCATACAGCAAATATTCTGATGTAGAGTAACTTTAATATGGATTTAAGAACTCCAAGTTTCTGGATGGCTGCTCTTGTAGCAGCACAAAACTGGTGCACCTCTCAGGTTTGAAATGTTTCTATACATCATGTATTACTGCACTTCTTAGGTGTTGGTTGGTTCTGGTAGTTCACAATGAGAATCTTTCCGACCGCAATAAATATCTAAGAAGATAAAGATACCTCTGAGCTCATTAATTTGAAATTCATAAAAGTAAAATAAGCTAAGGAATATTCAACATGTTCAATGTCCTCTTCTGAGAAGAGAGTTGGGAATTTCACCTGTATTTCCAGTGCTTCTCAAAACTTTTTCAAAGACGGGTCACAGACAAAGCACGTGACCAAATGTTTCACTTCATAAACCTCCTACACATTTCTGCCATCAGAGCCCAGCAGAGCCACAGCTGAGCTGGCCAAAAGGAAAAGGAGGAAAGGCTGGTGAGGGTCACATTTGCACATCACACACTCACAGTCGCTCACCTGCCTGGGCAGCTGCAGCAGGGACAGAATCAGACCCTTCTCACAGGTGTCCAGGCAATGGGCACCAGTAAAGCTGCAGCCAGGGAAATTCCAGCATGAAAGAAGTAAAAAATTTCCAATGAGAGAAATTAAACTCTGCAACAAGTTGCCCACAGAGGGTGCAGTGCCTGCAGTGTCACAGCCTCTGAAAATTCCCTGGACGATGCTCCAAGCAAGGGGATGTCAGAGCAGGCATGGCCCTTCCAACAGAAATTGGTCTGTAAGTCTAAACCCCATTTTTCTGTGCTATGACATTTAAAAGTTCCAAGATTTGAGCCAATTACCAAAGGACCAAAGTATGGCTAACTGAAAATCACGCACACATATGTGGATGCACAGAATTTAACAGTGAGACCCCCACTGCACTTTGAGCCTCCCGAATAATGTGTTTGCAACCAGACAGCTCCCCCAACACAGCCCTCTTAGTGCAAGACTTGGGATCTGCAGGGTTACTTTGACACTAATTCATGTGATTCCCAACATTCAAGACAAGTTTCCCATAGAAAGCTGTGTGTGGACTAACAGCTGAAGTTACACCAAGCATTAATTAGCACCCAAACTCGGAATCAGATACAGGATTTCACACGGCTACTCCCAGACAACTGAGCTATTTTCAGAACATTTGGCTATCAGAACATATGCATCACAAATTTCAACCTGCAATTTCCAACCCTGTAAAAAACTTGTAAAGTCAACTACATATGCAGGCCAGATTTTTATTTATTTTTTTTTTAATTCCATTTAGGAAGAGTGTCAGAAACACCGTTCTGCTTGTTAGTATCAACACTTTTCCCACAACAGTGGGAACCATGTCTGTTCTGAATAAACACATGCACACCTACAATTCCTGGAAATTCACACCACCATGGAATAACAACTATCACTGAATTTCACGTTACCTGTGATCTTT